CTTCTTGACAAATATACCTTCATTATGACCTGAAAGGTTGAGTTCAAATTTAGAATTCTTGCATTCCTTTGGATAACAAAATAGCCCTTGCCTGCAGCCATCCCACATGTTCCCTGCCTAGCTCCAGCATAATCCACATCCCATAACAGGCACTGCTTGGGGTGGGCACCACACTGGGTGGCCACCTTCAAGAAGACAGACTCGGAAGAAGGCTGTATGGATTTTGGGAGTGGGCTTGGGGCTGTCTGGGCAGGGAATTCTAGAGTCCCAGCAGGTATTTTTTTTTTTTCTTTCAGTTTTTGGCCAGGGCTGGGTTTGAACCTGCCACCTCTGGCATATGGGGCTGGTGCCTTACTCCTTTGAGCCACAGGCGCCACCTGTCCCAGCAGGTATTGAGAGTGTTGTCTAGAAGCTCCTGGGCTCCAGGTGGGCTTCTGCTCATGGCCCCAGAGGTTCTTCAGTCTGAGGGATGGAAAGGTCCAGGAAAGATCAAGAAGCTCAAGATCTAATACGGCTCACCAGTGACCTTGGGCAAGAGCCAACACTCAGCTGCTTCATCTGTTAAGTGGGCCAGCAGCTCTGCTGCAGCACAGGGCTGATAGGAGGTCAACACGGAAACACAGATGTTCATCTGCCTGGGGATCCCCCCAGCATGAGAACAAGGGGCAGCCTGGCAGGCAGCCACTCCGGCTGGGGGTAAAAATGCGGAGGCATGGGACTCCGGCTGCCCTCTAGGAAGTCAGGCCTCGGAGGACATGGAGAGTGATACTGGGACTGGGGGGTGGGAGCATGCTGAGCCAGCAGAATTGCTGAGGCTCAGCGTGGAGCAGAGCTGGCAGCAGCTTCACTGCGGCCTGGGCTGGCCTCCTTCCCAGGTGCACAGTGTTGGCTGGCCAGCCTGCAGCCCCTTCCTCTGCCCACCAGCAGACTGCTTGGGTGCTCCTGGGTGCCCCTTCTACCCTCCAAAGTCCCAGTGATGGCCCATTATGTGTAAAAAGGCCTTCCCTGTGGGCTGCTAGAAGGTTATATGTGTGCTATCTCTGTACAGCACTTAGCTGGTGCCTGACACATCACAGAGGATCGACAACCACATGTCCTTCCCAAAAGAGATGCTGGACCTACTCAGGAGGATGGGGGCCTTGCCTGGTGCAATAGCACCCCAATGCCTGGGAACGTGCAGCTACCTGAGTACTGTTCCCTTGCCCTCAGCCCCCATGTTTGGCCCAAAAATTCCACAGGAAAATAAAAAAGTTCCATGGAAAAGGCAAGCAACGCAGGGTGCTGGGGACAGGTAGGACCCCAGCCCACCCTTCTCTCCTGCTTTTAGGTTCCTTGATAGGTGTAGTAGTCTCCAGCTTAGAAGAGTCCTGTGAACAACAGCACTTCTCTCCCAGCCTTCCAAGCCCACATATTCATTTGCTATTCCCCAAGCTGCCTCTGAGCCAGCTGTGGAGCCTGCCTCAGGGATCTCCTATGCACTTTGAGAGGAAGATGAAGAGGACATATTAAGTGCTGGGACTGCCCCAAGGAGGAGTCACCTTGGTCAGAGTGGGTAAAATCCGGGGAGAGTTGAACACATGAAATGGGGCCTGGCCTAGAGCTGGGAGAAACCTGGGTTCTATCACCTTCCAGCTGTGTGATAGCTGGACACAGAGTTCTACATCATTGAGCCTCTGTTTTCTCATCTCTAAAACGAGGGCAGTTCTTCCTCAGCAGAGTCATAAGGACTCAATGCATAATGTAGGTAAAATGCCCATCCCAGTGTGGCATTTCCTCCAAAATTTGAATGTAGAGTTGCCATTCAACCCAGTAATTCCATTCCTAGTATATGCCCAAATGACATGAATCCACATGCTCAGATACTAGTACATAAGTGTCCATAGCAGCATCAGTCACAATAGCCAAAAAGGAAGAAACAACAAATATCCATCTGTGGATGAATGGATAAATAAAATGTGGCTGACCCTTACAATAGAATATTATTTATCTATAAAGAGGACTGAAACACTGACACATGCTACAGTGTGGACAAACCTCAAAAACATTATGCTGAGTGAAAGAAACCAGACAAAAAAAGCCTTATACTGTACAACTTAATTTATGTGAAGTGTCCAGAATAAGCAAATCTGTAGAGACAGAAAGATTAGTGGTTGCCAGGGCCTGGGGTAGGAGAGGGGAGATGGCAAATTCCTTTTTTGGTTGATGAAAATGTTCTGCAACCAGATACAGGTAGTGGCTGCACACATTGTGAGTCCAAAGTGCCACTGAATTATTCACTTTATTTTACTTATTTTTTTTTGAGACAGAGCCTTAAGCTGTCACCCCGGGTAGAGTGCCGTCACATCACAGCTCACAGCAACCTCCAACTCCTGGGCTCAAGCGAGTCTCTTGCCTCAGCCTCCCAAGTAGCTAGGAGCACACGCACCCACCACAATGCCTGGCTATTTTTTGGTTGCAGCTGTTCTTGTTGTTTGGCGGGCCCGGGTCTGGATTCGAACCCACCACCTTAGGTGTATGTGGCTGGCGCCTTAGCCACTTGAGCCACAGGCACCAAGACGAATTA